ATGTATGGTTTTACACCAGAATTTTTCCCACTTTGTATTGTTTTCTAGACTTCCCAGTAAGCTAACAGAAAACGTACTTTGCCAATACTTATTTTACTACACGTGCTAAAAAAATTAATATGTTTGAAATATAAATTGGATAAATAATTACATATTATAAATTGAGTTTATGTATTATTTTGAGTTAATAAAAATGGTAATTATTTTTATTTTATGGGCGAAAGAGGAAAATAGAATAGGAAACTACTAGGTGTTGGAAAATAATATAATATTCAATTAAGAGAATCACACGTTGACCTTTTTTTTTATTTTTTTTAAAAATATATATATAAAAGATATTGCATCATTAAATATTAATATGTAATTAGTTTAATCCATAATTTTATCTCCTAATTGAGATTTTGAATATTTTAATTATAATTAAACATATGCTAATTATTAACTATGAAATGTTAATTATTATATGTTGCTGTCTTGTTGTTATTAACTACCATTAGTGTGTCCGTACAACTATTCCAGTTAATTTGGAGATTTTAAATTAATTAATTAACTATTTCACATTATGAAAAGCAAACTATACTGTAAAATTTCAATTATTTTTATATTCGTTTCCGAATTTTATTAAACATGTAATTAAAATTTCACTATAATAATACAAAATAATTTATTAATTTTTAATATGTAATTAAGTACCCACTAGTCTATAATTAAATAAATAAAACGAAAGTAAGCATTAATTATTTCGTATATAATTTATACATGTTTGATTTTTTAATTCCATTTTGTCAACCCTTAAAACGTTTACCATTACATATTTTGAAAGGGTATACTACCCTTTTAACCACTACTTAAAAAAATTAGAGTTTGTTGATTAATAATAATTAATTAAGATTAGTAAAATTTATATTCGAACCCACCGGCATCATCATCCACGTGTGTGCGTGTGTGTATATATATATATATATATATATTATGAAGTTTGGAAATTAAGCTTTGAATTGTCGTAAATAACTTTATATGTTGTATTAGGTGATGGTACGTATAGTTCTGGCATATCACCGGTCAGTCCAGTCTCGGGCAATGTTGCTTAACCCAATCTACGTGGACTTTCACACGCAGGATAAAACGAAGAAGGTGTGTATACTTACACATCATCTGTATGTATACAAGACTGGTGGCGATACGTGGTGTTGTATCCATCGGCCATTGACCTTGACCCTCTGGAATCTTTTGCTGGCATGAGATTAATTAGATTAAATCAAAGATTATTTAACACTAATTAATTAATCTCTCTCTCTCTCCCCCACCATATCTTATAAATTACATATAATAATAACCATATATTATAATAATTATGTGTAATAATAACATTTAGAATTTTTAATACTAAAACAAATGGATTTAAAATACAGAATTAAAACCGCAGTTCCCAAAAGATTTGTCAGATTTTGGTAGTTTGTATTGGCACGCATTCAAATTTTGTTTCATATTAAATTTTGATATATTTTTTTTAATAATTTATTATATTTGAGAATCAAATTTGATTCTTTCTTATTTATTTATTTAATGATAGAGTGTTCGTATTCCCATTTTTACTCGTTAATGTAAATTTTTCGTTATATAATTTCGTGTTTTTTTTTTAGACTCGGTACTTATATAAAGACCGCGTGCACGCGCAATGTACTTACGATTTTATAATAAAAATGAATTTACTGATGAGTTATAATGTAATAGTTAGTCCTAACCCAGGTGGCTGAATGGCTATTTATGTACATAATTTTGGACCTCAGATGTTGCTTTAAAGTTAGACATTTGTATTTATATATATCATTAACTAAAACGACACTCCAACATTTTATATCCAAATTATATAAACTTGTAATCAGTTTGTCACCTTATCTCCTTAAGGAAACATCCAAAAACTTAATTACTTAAAGATAGACACTGGATGTATGTTCGTTAGCCCGATTAGGTTAGGTAATTAAGTAATTAAAAGGAAAAATAATTAAAGAATCGGTTAAATTACATACTAAACCCAGAAAAGATCAGATCGATTACAAATTAATCAAAAGTCCAAACAATTTCTTAATTTGTAGATGGTAAATATATGGATGGAGTCGGAATTATTTATTAGTTCGGTTGTTCGTGTTACGTGTATTACGTGCACACACCCCGCATCGAAAGCTTAATCTTTTTTTTTAGCAATTGATTTGCAAAGAGAGGATTGGTAATCAAGATTTTATTTCCTAAATAAAGCTATTTAATTCCCACCTAGCGTATTATAACTATGCTAATAATCGTCACAAGAAATTGTTTATTTTTTTTGGTAACTCTCTTAATCCACCGAGTTATGTAAAATACTTCAATGCAGCAATCATTTAAATAAAGAAGTTGTAGGTTCCAGTACAGCCCATTCAGATGATGGGTCTGGCTCGAGTACAGCCCATTCGGACTGGTGGACTACTGGATCCTGCTTGGACTGGCTGTTTAGTTAGTCCACTTGAGATTTGTCCTGCCGCCATTTCTCAGCTCTTCGAAAAAAGGTCAGTCGAGAGAACCAGGTTGAGAAACCTCTGCTACATTCTGTTCTTTACTCAAAGCTGAGAACCATCGATGTGACCATGCATGGCTTGTGCTTTAGAACTGAAAGTAAGAAATCTATTGCCGCGATGCACGTTTCAACGGCTGAAACAAATACATGGCTTCCTTATCACAACTTCCTTCTCCCAAAACCCTCAAATGTTATCCAACTTTCTCCGGCGAAGCACGGAGTTGGGGTCCATGGACTATCCTAACCTCATTTTCTCACAGCTGAGTCATGCTTTTCAAACGGAGATCACGGTTTGGAATGTGATGATCAGAGGCTATGCTTACAACGGTCATTTTGAGGAATGTGTGGGTATGTTTGATGAAATGCCTCACAGAGGATTGAGACCCGACAACTACACGTACCCGTATGTCTTGAGCTCCTGTTGTGAGATGGGGTTTCCTAGAAAAGGCCTAAACGTACACTGCCAGATTGTAAAGTCGGGGTTTGGGTCTAGCTTTGCCGTTTCCCACTCGCTTTTTCACATGTATGATAAAATACAGACGCGCTTTCACAAGTTAACTGAGGCGCGGAAGGTGTTCGATGAAATGTCTGCGAAACCTGTTCAAGTGTGGAACCGAATGATATACCAGTGCGCGACCGTTGGCAGTGTTGTGGCTGCAAGAGAGCTGTTTGATAAAATGCCTCGAAGGGATGTTGTTTCGTGGAATTCTATGATTTCGGGTTTTGTCAAAGTTGGGGAAATAGAGAATGCAAAGACATTGTTTGAGAAGATGCCAGAGAGAAATGTTGTTTCATGGACTATAATGATAAGAGCTTTTGCTGATGCAGGAGACCTCAAAACATCCATTAAATTTTTTGAGAAAATGCCATTCAAGAATGTGGTTTCTTGGAATTCGATGATTTCCGGTTATAATCAGCACCGGAGATTCGAAGAAGCATTGGATCTTTTTGTGAAAATGCAATCAAAGGGCATACCTTTTGATGGATATACTATTGTGTCCGTTCTATCTGCATGCGCCAACTTAGGAGCCCTTGAGTTTGGGACATGGGTGCACAGCATGATTGAAGATTGGACTCGGTTAGGGGTGATCGTAGGAACTGCCCTCATAGACATGTACGCTAAATGCGGGGACATGGATGGAGCCTTTTCACTATTTATTAAAATTGGAACTAAAGATGTCTTTTGTTGGAATGTTATGATCAAGTCACTAGCCATACATGGAAGATCACAAGATGCCATCAAGATTTTCTCTTTGATGCTAAAGAATGGATTACGACCAAATGACTTCACACTTACAGCAACCTTGTTTGCTTGTAGTCATGGAGGATTGGTAAAAGAAGGCCGTGAGATTTTTTGTAGTATTGAACGAGATTTTGGGATTAGTCCGAAGCTTGAGCATTTCAGCTGTTTGGTAGATTTACTAAGCCGATATGGTGAACTTGAGGAGGCACAAATTCTGGTGGAGAGTATGCCGTTTAAACCTGATATTGCAATTTGGGGGGCGTTACTTGGGGGTTGCAGAATAAGAAACGACTTAAAGTTAGCAGAGGAGGTAATAGAGAAAGCTTCTGATATGGACGCAAATGAATCAGGAGTTCATGTGCTTTTGTCTAACATCCATGCTTCCGTAGGCCATTGGCCAGATGCATTGCGAGTGAGAAAGACAATGGAGGAAAAGAAAATTTGGAAGAAGGCTGGATATAGTCTTTTACAGGAGAATTTCGGGCCTTCCTAGAACAGAATTTTTTTTATGAACATTAACTTGCACAGAAAGAAAGATAGAAAGATAGGATTACTGGAGCTGACTGACTGTCCAATTTGTACAATATTAAACATTCTCAACTTTTATAAAGTTGCTATTTCATTGAGTCCGTAGCTTCTGAATGGCAGTATTTACTGTTTAGGCTGTCTTTGGAATCCTTCAAGGTGTTTGAAAACTTGAATCTGCTATTTCCTTGAGAAACCAAGTTTACAACCATGGCCAGGATTACAAGCTTCAAGTACCACAGGCATTACAGGAATTAAAGAAAAAAAAAGCAAGGGAGTACCATACAAGCACCACTCTAACTGGGCATAAAGAATATCGCCTAGAATTCTGGGGGAAGATATAACATATTTCAAGTGATTAATTCTCACAAAAATAGCCTTTGCAATACTTGTGCTTCGCAACTTCTGAATTTAAGCATCTAAGACAGAATTAATACAGCTACGATACACGATAATCATAGGCTTTGAACAGTAAAGAATCTAGATCCAATTAATTCCAACATGATGACTTAATGTTGCATTCAAAATTTTTTCAGTCATGTGCAATGAAGTCATACTGACCAAACTTAAAGATATCAGCTAGGAAGCACCACCATCCAGGTATAAGTTGTTGAAACATATTACGGTATAGTTCTTGGAATCAATCAGAATATCGTCCATTAGTGTGCTCTTGAAATCCACACTGGAAGCTCATGAACTAATCATGTTGAACTGGAATCTAGAAAGTTGCTGAGGAATGGTTGATATAACAGGTCCATATCTCTGTTTCAAAGTTAATGTCCTCTGTTAGGAGAAATTTATAAATATAGAACCCATTGTTCCCTACATTTTTTGTAGACCTAGCATATGCAAGGAAATGAAAAAAGGCAGTGTTCCAATCCACACAGGAAGTTCATGAACTAATTATGTTGAACTAGAATATAGAAAACTGCTGAGCAATGGCTAATATAAGAGGTGCATCTCTCTGTTACTGTGTCCTTTGTTAGGAGAAATATATAAATATAAAACCCATTCTTTCCCTCATTTTTCATAGAAATAGTATATGCAAGGATATGAAAAAGGCATCGTGAAAACATTAAGTTAGATTTAAGTTCATAGAACTTGACAGGAACATAAGCCAAGGGTTGAGGGTAAATTCAAAAAGAGCAGTTCATGATTATTTATCTATGGTAATTCACTAGAACTATGAAAATAAGAAACATGACGGGTTAGTGCACTACACTTATTCACTACTTTTGCATAGCATGTCAAGATGGAAACCTTGTTTACTCTTAAGCTATTTAAATCTCATAAGCCCAGAAAAATCCACACCTAGCAGCTAAAATCTGAACAAGGTGAAGCCAAGCAAAACTCCAAGTTCAGTTAAATAGAAGGCCACAGATCATCATACCTGAACATTATCATAGAGTTCAAACAATGGTACAGCAAGGAGTTTCAAATTTTTGGGCACCGCAAAGTACTCCTTCTCAGCCAGATGAACTACAAAAAGCTTCTTACACTCCTACGATAAAAGAACAGCCAAGAAAGAAAATAATAAATATAACCTTCCAAGGAAAACAAAGAATTCGATCAAGGTATCTTTGTGTTACCTTGGGTTTTGTGATGTGGGGAGGGCAATAAGGATACATGATTGTCTCAAAGTTTGGTCGCCACCAGATGGCCACACATTCACCAATCTGTCAAGTAGTGAAATAAATATAAATCAGGAAACAACCCGTAGCATGTATAAGACCACATAATTCCAGCTTAACTTTCATGGTTCATGCTTCAAAGGACAAATATATCCAACTCAACTAACGCTCAATGCCAGAGGACTTGAGGCTGTCCAATAAGTAATTAATTCTGTAAATAATCTTTCTCATGTCCGACTGAGTCCAAGTGATATTTTCTTATATTTTCAATATATATATTTTTCCTTTGTCTATATTGGTTTTGAACATCTTGTTCATGAATCTGCACTCATAATCAAAAGTCAAACAGATATACCTGCCAGTCTGGCACAAGACCTGGAGAATTAGCTCCAAGCTTGCTAGTTAGCTTTCTTCTCAAGCCCTCAATTTCTGCCGCAAAAATAAAGAGCACAAAACATAAGAATCCAAAACTAAAATATATCAAAATACTCACTGCAAAGAAGAAAAATATAGATTATAACATTAGAGAAGAAACTGATACCATTTTCTCCTGGCTTCAGTCGTCCCCCAGGAAGTTTGCAGAATGTATTCCCAATTTGAAGAAGAAGTATGTGAGGATGATTATGTTCCTGGACCTGCAAGATGAAACAATAAATTAAGATCAGCAATTCGTGACCCACAAGGTAGTTAAGAACAAATTATGTACGAATGAAGAGATGCCCCACATAACAGGTTTTATACATTGGGCTGGTACATGTTGCAAAAGAAAACACAGCATAAGTAAATCACAACTGGTTAATACAAAAGCTTCTGGATGTAAGAACATGCTCTTACTGACAGAGAACCAGCTAGCTTCCACCAAATTATGTGCTCTAATTAAATGCAAATGTATTCCAGAAGAGCAAAACCCAAGACTCTGCATCCGATCAGACTTTTGACCAATGTGATTCAGACCAAATTCATAAATTCAAATGCGTACTTGAGAGAGTGCATGTGTGAAATATAAGATGGAACAACCACAGTGCTCATAAGTCCAAGTACCCTAGGAATATGGAAATATATGACTTGAGGCTTTTTATTTGTAAAAAGATTGCAGCCAAATAAGCGAAGACAAAAACCAAATAAAGTGGCAGCATGATCAGGTGTCAAATTTAAAAATAACATCAAATGGCTCTTCCAAGAAGGAAAATGCTTCGAGAAAACAAATTGCAAAAATATATCTTTGCTGTTTGTCTCTGTTTGCAGTCAAGAATAAAACAAACTAGCAACTAGAGAAGCAATTAGCAGGTTCATAATCTTATTTAAACCAGACACGATTCCCAAGTTTTATTAATTATACTATATCACTTCCATGGAATATTTAAGTGTAGCGTGGACTTGTCCAGTGAAATTCTGAACCATTGCAGAGCTCATGGCTATAAGCAAGACGTTAGTTGCACAGCAAAATCTATGACTCATCTCTAGTTCTCATTCTCAATCTTTTTAACTTGTAAAAAGAAAAAAGGAAAAAAGAAAGGGGAGAGAGAGAGAGAGAGAGAGAGAGAGAGAGAGAGAGAGAGATCACTCAAAAAGTAATTCATGTCTTTTCCTAAACAAACAAGAATAATAATTATGTCCAACTCAATTTCTTGTATCAAACTATGTGACAATGGGCTCTCCTTTTACAGTTCACCTTCGAGCCAGGTTAAGAAAAAAGCATTACGAAGAAGTAAAGAGGTAGCACTGTATTAATCTCCAAGTAAATGAAGAAAAGATGATGATCATAATGAAGAAAACATTACGTTCATTCATGGTAGCTTAGCTGTGAGAGAAGGAACATACCAGTAAAATCCCTTCAACACTGGTCCTCATACCCTCCTTCATATAGCTGTAACTCAGAATTGAAACAATAATCAAAATCTAGTTGAGGTGTCCAATACAGGCTTTGGATTTCAAAGACACGATTATTCATGCTAGATTTATTAATGCCCTACTTTTTCCCTTGCAAGGCAGTATTTTGAAAATTAAAAAAAAAAAAAAAATCAAACTTGAGAACTTGAACAAATTAAGCATCTGCGGAAGCACCTAGATATCAAAAGAAAGCAACAAAAGGAAAATGCATTTCCCTCGTGAAGCAAAATGCATTTTTACAGTGTCTCAAACACAAGCCAACAGAATTATTAAACCGTCCAGAATTCTTCTTAAAATTCAGGGCCATACTTCTAAGTTAACTTTAAAAGGTGGATATCCGATTCTCAAAAACAAAATCCTAGGGTAATCACTTGGCCCCAGTTGAACATAATTGAGTGGCATGCAGAGATATTTAACAATCCAACTGCACTTTGATTAGTAATATAAGAAACCATTATTAAATGTTGTCAGTTAACATGCATAACCGATCAAATCGAAGTAATTTAAGGTTATCCCAAACATATCTTTCATCTCTTAGTAACCAAGAGGAAATAGACGGAGCACAGTTCCTCTTCTTCTTTTTTTTTTTTTTTAACAAGCGTCACTTCTTTCCTATGATCCACTTTCTCGACAGCCGAACATTAAAGAAACAACAAGGTTTATCTAGGGTTTTCGAAAGCTTCGTTCGAATATGACGTTTAAAGAAAAAAAAAAAAAGGAAAGAAGAGAAACATACTTGACTTTCATTCGAGCAAGACGATCGGCCACAGAGGTGTCCTTCTCCATCTTTGGCTCCTTCGTCCCGAAGGTATAGCTAGAGAGTGGATACGTGTTGACCACCGTTGACGCTACCATTTCTCTCCCGAAGACCATACTCGCTATTGTCTTTGTTCACCTGCAAGTTTAGAACCGTATGCAGGTTCCTTTTCAACAAATTTATGGAGTATTTTCCTTGGTTGGTTCGCCACAACACAAGCGAAGCGATTGATACAAAGTTTTGAGTCGGACAAGGAAAAGCAAGTAAAGTTGGCACCTAGCAGAGCGGGGGAAAGTAGAATATCGAGATTTAAGCCCAGGGAAGTGGCGAGACGGCTTGGGCATTCATATATTTTCCGGATGATCACCTGCCTTGTGCAACAGTTGGATTTAGGTTTGGGCCTCAGAAAGCTATTATTATACGTGGACAGCTTTGAAACAGTATTTGGGCCTACAGCCTGTTTTAAATCTTGGGCGGGCCATTGGATCAGCAATAAATTTCTTCTTTTAGTTAAGAAAACCACAAACAAAATCTTTTAGTATTTAAACGCAGTTCCCCAAAAAGTTGCACTGAAATTTCAACACTGACAGTATTCATTTCTTCCTTCTTGTTTGATTAATATGGTTTTAATTTAGTATTTGCCATGTGATTCTTTACAAATCGTACAGTGATATAGATACAGAATTAACCCATAATGAAAATTACTCGTTATCATTTCATATATCACCATCTTCTTATTATATAAATTGGGAAAAAGAGGTCATACCCTGTATTTTTTTCCTAGTTAGGAGCAACAAATAGAGAATTAGATGACACTGGCTTTCTTTTGCCCACATACATCTGCAAAACCCCATCGGATCCTCCAGCAACAAGCGTGCAATGGTCCTCGCACACTTGATGCCAGCACACACTACTCACGAACCTTCCTCCTCGCGCGCGCCCCTCCAGAGCCACCGGCTCCAGCCCATGAACCCAAATGGGCTCTCCCCACCGCCTATCGTAAACAAACACTTGGTCACTCTCGGATCCGCATCCCAGCAACCCACCATGTCTCCACACTGACAGCCCCACAAAGTTGCGACTGTTCACGTGTCCTTTATACGTGCGCACCAGCCTCGAGTCGTCCATATTCCATAGCTTTAAACACCCATCTGTACCAGCTGTTACGATTGTATGAAAATCCAGGAACCGGACGTAGCTCACCGTTTTACTGTGACCGTCGAGAACCAGAACTGGTTCCACCATTTTTCTTATATCGTACGCGTATGCCTTTCGGTCGGCGCATCCGACAGCCACCATGGCTCCGCCGGACGGATCGAACTCAACGCAGCAAACCGAGTTGCTCGCTTTGCTGGGCTGCACCTTAGCGACGCATCTTCCGCCATCGCGGTGATTACCACAACGTGTATCCCATATTTGCATGGTCCCGTCGTCGGACCCGGAAGCCCCGACGACTGGATCCCAATGCGAATAGTCCACGCTCCAGACTCGACGCCCTCCGTGCTCGTCGCGTTCGAAGATGGGCACTTTTCTCTCCAGGTCGTATTCGGTGACTACGCCGTCGTAGTCTCCGGATCCTAGTACCCGGCCGGCCGAACCGGGCTTCCATCGCAGGTTGCTAAGCTTGGCTGGTGTACAGATGTAGTACTCGCATGCACTAATATGATCTAACGAGGCTGTGTTGAGCTCACCATGGCTGGTTTCTTGCGGCAACAAGGAGTTTAAACTGTAAAATCTGATTTTTCTCGCGATCCCACCGGTTGCTACAAGGGTATTAGTGGGGTCAAATTCGATGGCTCCAACGGCGTCGGAACCGGCTGCTGCGTCGGTGGTGGAGGAGACAACGGTGCAAAGATTGAAATCCCATTCGCATCTTGGCTTCTCTCGATCGTCTTGGTCTTCATCTTTTGCTACCTGTTGGTTTTTATCTTCATCTCCACTACCATTGCCTCCATGTTGTTGTATTTTTCTTTTTTCTTGTTCTTTTCTTTGATTTTGGCAGGAAAGATGGAATCCTGTGGGGAAGTTTTGCATTTCCCATTCATATGAAATGGAGAGAATTGAGGTTTTTGGGAAATCGGACCAATGAAGGGCTCCCATAAAAAACCTTAGTTATGAAATTGATGTAGATATATACATACCAATATATTATATAGAGTATAATTTGTTTAATCTATTTGATATTTGAATTACTATTTCCTTTAATATGCATATATATTTTTTCACAAGATTCTTTTATCTCCTTCCGCATATAAAACCACGCCCAAGTTTCCCAAAAATGACGATAATGCCATTTCTTTAGGAGACAGTGCTATTTTCTGTCAAATCCATCGAACACTTACTCATAACTAAAATCTCCAAGACGTGAAGGCGATGATGGAGGAACATCCACACCTTTCTCATATCTACTATAGTTAATTACATGCATGGTTTATCCCTTGTAATTTATGATGTACTCGGTGGAGACGATGAGATGCATGGGCAATGATGGTATGTTACAACAGCAAATATAATAATATAGAATGGTTACGAATTCGTGTATGTATAATATTTAGGGGGTAGCTTAGTAGTTAATGGCAAGTATTTTTGGAAAGTGGGGTGTTGGGGAAAGTAGAATTGGTGGCTGGTTTGACGCCTCAAATTCGTGTATGAAGTGATGTGGTTACAGTCTCTCTCATACGTGGTTTAAGTTGAGCCTTTTGTGTCTACAGCCCACTTTTGTTCATTTCTCAGCCTCACCCTCGGTCTGATGACACCCCAAAATATCCACTTCCCAAACACTATCCATACGTATACCCACCACACTTTCACGTCAAGTTTTAAATCTCACTATTTAATTTATCAATATGTACATGTTGATATTCTGTCTTCCTCCCCGGGTTGACTCGCAGCATTTTTTGTTTTTTAACAAATAATTTCTTATCTAAATGATTGAGAGTCTACTTCCATTTTTACTATATTTATGTTACTTTAATGAAAAAAAGAACAAGAAAAACAAACGAATGGCCAAGCCGAGTAGGGTATGTCTTCAAAAAGAAATGGCGGAATGGGCCATGGGGAATCCTATTTGCAATTTGCAGCTTGCGGTTGTAGATATGATAGCTGTACACCTACTTCCTTATCCAACAATACTCACTCACTACTGTACATTGTTGAATGACTGCGTGTACATTCTTAATGTTCCATTGTGTTTTTTTTCTTCTTTTTTTTAAGATTCTTACTTATTATGTAAAATTCATGTAAGTATCTACTTCCTTATTCTTATTCATAATGTGTGGTTGGGCTTGGGTCCAACCAGTATGTATGCTAAGGAAGCCCAAACTCTCCTTTCGCCGACCCATCTCCCGCCGTATAAGATGCTTTCGTCATTTTCTGGTGCGCGAACCGCCCTCTGACGGTCAAATGTGAAAGTTACGGGGAAGAGAAAGCGCGCGAAATTAAGATACCCTCGCCGTTGCCATTGTGGTTCTCCCTTGCTACGTCAACCGGAAGTGGCAGCAACTATTACCCACTCATCCATCCCAAATGGGCAATCAAAAGCAGCAAGTAATTTCACGGTTCTTTGCTCCTAAACCCAAAACTCAACCATCGCCATCATCCGCACAGCCACCTTCTTCACCATCTTCTTCTTCTAACGCAGAGAGACCGATAACAACGCCGCCGCCCAAAGTCTCTGCCACGGTCTCTTTCTCTCCTGGCAAACGCAAGCTCCTCTCGTCACACATCGCCTCATCCGAACCTAAGAAGTTCAAACTCTCTTCGCACACCCAGAACCCCATTCCTGACACTTCTCTCCACCAAAGATTCGTCCAGAAACTTCTTGGACCTTCAACGGAAGCTCCAGAGCCTTGCGCTCAATCATCGGATACCAAACCGAAGAAGTACACCCCTTTGGAGCAACAG